AATTACATGTGTCAAATTGAATGAAGAAAGTTTAAACGAAATGAAAAATCCAATTTAAAAAATATTTGGTATAAAAAAACCACTCTCAAGAGTTATCTTTCCTAATTAGCCAAGACTCAAAACACTATGGAACGTTTGACATTACATCTAAAATTCAGAATAAAGCTTTAAATTACCAGAGTATACATTTAAAACAATAAAACAAACATAAAAATTAACACTAACACAGTAAATAGCGCAATTAAATAAAATTTTAATTTCAACAAGGTTGTAGATTTTAACTCGAATTTCCTCCATACATACATGTCAGTGATTGATAGAGTTCACTGTATGCATGGCTATGAAATTGACATTACTTGTTTGGCGAAGATTTGACTGTTGCTTTCTTTTGTTTCTGCCTAAAAGCAATTCTTCTTGGTTTATGCATAATGAATCCGTTACTTTGTTTTCACTGTTTACAACACCGCATGTTTCATCTATTTTTAAAGCGTTTTAAAGGTCAGGGTCATATTACAGAGGTACCGATACAACTCGTCCACGGAGCAAACCGGTCGACACAATGGAGGTTTATTTTTTGTGTAGTACGTCATCAAAAAGTGGTGTAATGAGCCTCCTTAAAGGAAGACTACCTTAGGGCTTTCAAATCATGGGTATGCAGATTGCAAAAGTGTGTAAATGTAAAACCATGCACATACATACATGTGCATGTACGTGCGCTGCCATCTGATTGGCTGAAACTTTGATCAGCTATAACTCCCTTGATTTTCAATCAAACGGGGTGGGATTTAGAACATAGATAGATGTAATGGACTTCTACAAGAAGGTATGGTCACCATGCTCATGTATGCACGTGCGTGCACGTGAAATGAATAAAATCAAAAATACACTTGAATGAGCGTATTTTTTAATACTTTTGGATTAAATACTTTAATATTTAGTATATTAAAATATATAGATTGTGTAGACAAAATGATATGGTCATTGCGCACATGCATTCATATGCGCACGCATGCAATGCTTAAATTTGAATGAATTTGGTACACTTCTGGGTAAACGTTGTTAAAGTCTCAAATGCATAGAGTTTGTCTTATTTAATGAAGCTCACAGGGAATATGGCATAAAAGGGAGTTGGGGAGCGACTGGGGAACATCTGTAACGGTCCCCGTTACAATTAGCACTAGTTTTTGGTAATTTGGAAGATCATATGGCAATTAATTTGATTATCCTACTAGTAAAGAAATACTTATTTCAACAATTAAGAATAAACAATAATATTGTTTTTAATCACATCTTAAAATATTTAAATAATTACTTTTGTTTAGAAAAAAAATTGTCAGGGAATATATTTTACAAAAAAAAGATTGTCCAAGTGGAAATGTCTTTTTAATGTGTCTAATAGTAACTTTTAATATAAGTACTGATTGAATATGCATTGCATATTGCGTAAGTTTATGTATATTATACGTATATTGAAGTGTATCTATCCTTATGTATGTATACTAGATGTTTATTAATGTGTGTGTATTTGTATTTTTGCAACTGGTATGAGTGTGGGAGAGAGGTGTATATGTTTTGCAATTACTTAAATAAAAAAAAATAATAAAATGGTTGATTAATACCAAAGAAAAGATTTCAAAGCATTAATTAATTTTCAGACTATGTATCCCCCCCCCCCGACCCAGGGGATGGGGGCATAAAAAATAACCATTTTGCTAGATGCACCTTTCTTCATCATAAATATTACTTGGAACATTGGCATACAACCCAGGTGGAAAGGAAAAGATTTTAAAGAATTATTATTTTCACTTTATAATCAATAGATCCCAGCCCTAACACCAGAACTCCGTGACCCTGATGCCATAAAATTCACAATTTGTAAAGAGTTACTCTTGCTCATCAAAATTATGTACTTAGTTAGCTTATTTGATACCCAGGAGCAGAGAAGAAGATTTTTAAAGAATCAATGCATTTTCACTATATAATCAATAGAGCCCCGCCCTTCATGTAACACCAGAACCCCTGACCCTAGGGCCATAAAATTCACAATTTTGAAAGAGGCACTCTTACTCACCATAACTATGTTCTTAGTTACTTTATCTTATACCCAGAAGCAGAGAAGATTTTCAAAGAATAAATGCATTTTCACTATATAATCAATAGAGCCCCGCCCTAATACAAGAACCCCTGACCCTGAACACATGAATTTCACAGTTTTGAAAGAGGCAATCTTGCTCATCAGAACTACTCAGTTACATAATTTATTTAATACCCAGGAGCAGAGAAGAAGATTTTCAAAGAATTAATGCATTTTCACAATATGATCAATAGAGCCCGACCGTGCTCTAGAACCCCTGACTCTGGGGCCATGAATTTCACAATTTTGGTAGAGGACTCAATGCTCATAACATTCATGCCAACAGTTTGCCTGCTTGACGTCCAGGAGTAAAGAAAAAGATTTTTAAAGATTGCAATAATTTTAGTAGTTTTGGCCCCATCCTTCAGGCCTCAGGGGGGCAGAGAAATAAAATTCACAATTTTTGTTCCCTTTCATCCACAGATGCTATATGCCAAAATTGGTTGAAATTGGTTCAACGGTTTCTGAGGAGAAGCTGGAAATGTGTAAATGTTAACGAACGACGACGGACGAAATCGGATAGCAATAGGTAACATAAGTTTACTAAAAAATATATATAAAAATATTTGAACCCCTTTCAACCAAGGATATTTTGTGGCAAATTTGGTTGAAATTGGTCCAGTGTTTCTTGAGAAGAGGCCGGACAAAATATGATCAGGAAAGTTCACCTGAGCCCAAAAACAATTGTTAAACACCTTCCCCCTTAAGAGATCGACTATGACCAAGTGTAAAGAAACAGAAGAGTCGATCAATATAATTCATTTTAATATTTCTAGTTTGTTAATATTTACAAGGAAATTTCAAAATTTTAAAAATATTTTTATACAAAATGGTGAAGTCAAAGTCAAAATATTACTCAAGTTCTGTGGTTTCATTCAGATTTTGTACATATATAATCAGAGAATATGATGTAATTAAACTGAGTCATGTTACTATGTGCTCTTCTTCCCCATTATCACTCCAGAAACATCATAAATATCTTACATTGAATATGAATGCAGTATAATGCTGGAAAATACCAGGATATGAATTGTCAAGTATCATAGGGTTTTTATAACCTACAGGAAGGAATCAAAAAAAACATTTAAAGGTTAAGTAGTGATAAACACAAATGCCTTGAAATATATACTGTGTTACTTAAAATATTGTTAAATATAGTAAGAATTGACAGCAAATATGTAGAAATCACACATGAGAATATACACAAAATTTAATGATTGAATCCACTGATGTTTTATGGTGGCATCTGTTACGATTTCACTGAATGATTAATCACAATTCAAGTAATTCATACTGTGTATTGAAACACTTTGACAAATCCTTCTAAGTATCCCACCCACAGTGTAGACTTATAGAACGATAATCTGACTGGACGGCTCACTTCATTATCTGGCGGCAGTAAGAACTTCAGGAACTCCCCGTCAGGACTCAGCAGATGGATCTGTTTGTTGTAGACGTCAATAACAAGGATGTTACAAAGAGAGTTGCACACTACATCACCTGGTTTAAAGGTTTCTGTCAGTTTCTGTCCCTGGTAAATAGACTTCATACGACCAGAGGGAGACATAATCACAAGTTCACCTACAGCGCTACTTGTATGGTTCACAACACAGATATCTCTATCACTGTTCTGTGTGACTCTGTATGGATCTGTAAACAGTCTGGTCTGACCGTCCTCCTGGTACTCATACTCACGGATGACATCACCTGTCACTGTGATGTGTCTCACCAGACGTCTGCTGTTTGATTCTACTTTGTAACGATCAGATTCTCTGTCTCTCAAGGTGACCAGTAGTCCACCGTCCACTGACTGACAGATTCCTAATGGTTCTACTGGATCTGTACTGATGACTGTGGAGACAGATCCTGATGGTGACAGACAGCTGATGGCATTGTTACCACCATCTGTGAAATAAACATCACCAGTATCAGTCACACACAGATCATTAGGAGTAACATTACATTTATTTTTTTTCTCACCATCTTTGTTTACTTGTTCAATGTAAGGAGACTCTTTTTCTCCTATGTAGCACTGATCTTCACACAATGCCCTCAATACAGCTATCCCTTCATCTCCATATTTAAATGAGTTTGTTTCAGTCAAACTGATGTTTGAATCCTGAACTTTTCCTATCATATTCTCCATCTCATCATCACTGGTTTCTCCTGTAACGTATTTCAATGAATAATTAAAGTTGCTAAAATGAACATCCTGACCAGTCAGCTTTTTGGACAGTTCCCTGTGGTTATCAATGAAGCTGTAATCTGACATGGTGCTGTTGTTCTCCTCCATAAACTTTACCATTTCTTCTATTTCTTTCTTCTTTTTGTTAAGCTCAGATTTCACACAGTTCAACTTCTTATTTTGTTCCTTCAAATTCTCTGATAATCTTCGTTCTTTATTTTCCCTGATTTCTGTCAACCTGGCCATTATCTCATCAACATGCTTCTGAAGTTTTGTAATCTCAGCATCACACAGTTCTTTATTTCCTGTCATCTTATTTGACACTTTCTCCAGCTTTTCTTCAATCCCAGGCAGTTTCTCTTCCTTGATCTTCTTCAGCAATGTAAGCAGACCTCTTCTCCTTTGGCTGGCTGCCGTGGATATAGTGATCCATTCATGTTCCTTATGATCTGTTTTGGCACATTTACTACAAATAAATTCATCACAGTCTTCACATATAACATCAATTGGTAAATCGTGGGTTTTACACATTTCAATATGCTCTTGAGGAGAGCCCAGTGAATATTTTGGTTTACTGACTGCCATGTTTGTTAGATGTCGACTATGCATGACCTAGATTTGAAGCAGCGACAAGGAAGCTATAACACTGTGAAGTGATTTGGACTTTAAACCGAGATATTAAAAGTTACATGACATGCACAATCAACAAACATGTGTACTTATACAAATCATAACATTAAGAGTCAGCTTAAAACTAGGTGTATTAATGTGTAACTATATTAAATTTTGAAAATGTATCTAGCATTTCACGCATTAGTTGTAAGGTATGCAATTTTTTTTTACAGGGGTTAAAGGGGATTTGACACCTTTTTGAATTCTTGGCAGATAATGTCACTAAATAGTGTGCTTACAAGTAAGACCCTTAGAAACAACATAAACACAAGAGGCCCAGGGGCCACATTGCTCACCAAAGCAACTGGCTAGATAAAGACTAAATTCAGTTCAGCATTTAAAGATTAAATATAAAAGTGGGTTCAGGAAATAGGGGAATGGGATATTTGAACAAACTTAAATCTTTTTTTCCTATGGATGCTTTTAAATTAATATAATACATATAATGCCCTGCTGTTTATAAGATGAAAATTTGATTGATATAGCCTTTATATTCCTTTGAATAACTATGATCCACTTTAATGGCTTCTCTAGTCTCCTGGTTGGTCATGCATGATTTCAACAAATTTCAATCTACATCATCCTTTCTTCATCGTTTCCAACGATGCCCTTTTTATGATTTTATAAGATGAAAATTTAGTTGATATAGCCTTTATATTCCTTTGAATAACTTTGATCCTGGTTGGTCATGATTTCAACAAATTTAAATCTCCATCACTTTTTTATGCTATTAAATTGATGATTAATCATGGCTTTGTTGTTCTTGTGAAAAATTTTAACAATTTTTCCTACGTATTCCTACGTAAAAACTTAATCACTCATAGTGGTCCCACTCTACTCCTGGTGGGCATGATTTGAAAAAAAAAACTTGAATCTGTACATTTATACTAATCGAGAATGCTTCTATACGAATAGATATGAACAATCACAGATTTGCTGTTCTTCAGAAAAAGAATTTTAAAATTTTTTCCCATGTATTTCTATCGGATTGTCAATTAGTATTAATACATCCTACTATTAACATAGTTGACAGTACTTATCTATATGATATTGAAATATGTGGATGTCAGAAAGAATATGTAAGGATGTACATGTATATGGTATTGTGGCTTTAAATAAACTCTTAATACGAGTTTAAAGTCATAAAAAGTACTTTTAAAATCTTATTACGTAAACTTAGAGACTATGTCAGAGTTGAGGACTGACATTTCATAACCTGAAGAATATTAAGACCCAGCGGCAATTCCAGGCCAGCATCCCTATGACAACCAATCCTGTTTATTCCCTGGGAAGTGCGCCAAACTACGATGTTCTCTCAGACACCTCGACTGAGAGTCCGATTGTCAATGCCAACCATTCGGAAACCCCCGGAATGGCACTTGTTTCGGAGATATTTTTTAACCCATAGTATAATAATATACTATTGGTTTAAAAAATATTTCCGAAACAAGTGCCTGTTATCCTAAGTCCACAAAGGGGAAGCTGGCAAATTCTATTTAAGATCAAAACTCCATAAAACAATACAAAATAGGAGCAGAGCAAACACGGACCTCCGAAACATCAGAGCACCATTGAGGAGCAAATGCTTGAGCAAATATTTCCTTCTTTTCTTTGCTTTCAAAAAAGTTTCAGCGGTGGTTGTGGTGGGGTTGGGGGGGGGTGTAAAAGTACACCTGACCAATAGTTTTAGAATTTTCACTAACTCTTGAATTCATGCGTTCTTTGAATTTAAAGAAGTCAAATTTCAACTTAATGTGATTGAATGACTAAAAGGTCCAAAAACTTACCACTTTCGTATGCAAAAAAAAATTACGTTTAAAAATTTACAATTGAAAAGACCAACAACTTTTCCAAATCTAACTTTTTACAACAAGGAAAACAAACTACAAAGCAGGTAACTACCTTTATTTTTTTAAATGAACAAATTGCATTTCTCCATAAATAAAACATGTATGCGTATGTAGAACACCTGATAAAACAACAAAGATTATTTTTATCAGCTTATAATGCAGTTTTCAGACCATAAATGCTGTCGACAAATAAAAATGCTTTAATTAAAAGAAACAAAATCTTTTAAATTATTAACTTCTAATCAATGTACCCGATACTTTTTCTTTCTCAAAAGACTTGATGTTTAATGTACAAACATGCAATAATGACACTTTGGTAAAACGTTTCGGAAAGATGAAAACTATTGCCTTTTTACAATCGGCTGAATTTATTCTATCATTTTAAAATTAAATATAATTGTAAATTGTTACATAATTTTGATCAAAAAATTATAGTATATTCAAATAAAACCTTATTCTAAATGACGCAGCAGCTTAAACTTCAAAACAAGAAAAAAACTATCTGACACCTCTACTGTGTAGATATAATAATTTAGTAATAATATTAAATAATATTCAAAACCATATACAAGAGAAATATTTATACAACT